AATGAATAACAATATAATGATAAATATAACTTAACAGTATAATTAATATCTTTTAGGATTTTTGCGATTATTAAAATGAAGCGAGAAGAGGTGGGAGGTGGACCTATATTATAGAAAGATTATACAACCTCTTCAGGACTCAATTCTGGGATAGACTAGGTAATAATTAAAAACATTTAAATGATTTTTAAATTTATATTAAATATATTTACTTTTTTAGAATCAAGGCACACTTGTAGAAGAAATTGTAATTTACCTACTATAAGGTAAATACGAAATACAAGGCAAAGGCCTATAAGGCAATAAAAATTTCATTGTTTTTTCTTATCGTTCATTTAATTTCGTGTTTTTTTCATATTGTTCATTTTTTCTTTTCATATTGTACGTTTAATTTTATTTTTTCTTTTTCATTTTTTCGTTTCATTTCATTTTCCTGTTTTGTTTTATTTTCCTAATTTCATTTTTTTGTTTCATTTCATTTTCCTAATTTCGTTTTATAGTTTCTTTTCATTTATTTAATTTCATTTTTTTCATTTCATTTTGTTTTTCTAATTTCGTTTTATAATTTTTTTTCATTTATTTAATTTTATTTTTTCATCTCGTCTCATTCACTTAATTTTATTTTATAGTTTTATTTCAGTTTCTTAATTTTATTTTTTCGTCTCGTTTAGTTTTCTCTTCGTTTCATTTTTATTTTTTATTTATTTTATTTTTTATTTTATTTTTATATTTTAAAAAAATATTTTTTTTTAAAAAAAATTTAAGTAAATTAATAAAACTGTCATTCAACGATTAATAATGTGAAAATATTTCTGGAAATAGTAAAATTATATTTGTGTAATGAAATCAGTAATCATCTACTATAACGAATAATTCGTTAATGCTATAACAAATTATTTATTATATATTCCGCATAATTCATTATAACGTTAACGAAAATTCTTATAATAAAGTCTTGATTAGCTGGATTGGTAACTTTATTATATTGAGATGTGACTGTATGCTTTTAACTATTCGAAATATCTTGGATCATATTCATCAAAAATACAAGTATTCTTACATTTTTATTACGATTCTATTAAAATAAACAAGTTCTTCATTTTTAACATGATTATCAAAGATTTGTCAAGTAAAAACTACAACTACCTGCTGATAATTCCACTAGAATTGCAGTCTAAAATATTGACAGAGAAACCATCCACTCTTGCTTGAGAATTTGTAAAATGTTGGAAGATTTTCAGTCTCTTGCCTTTCATGATCACACTTTTTTCCAATCGTTAAAAAAGGTTGACACTTTAATTATTAAAGAGATACTATGGTATGTGCAACTCTTTTAGATTTATTTCTGATATGTTTTTCATCATCAAAGAACAGACAATCACATTTGGTGAAATCAATGTTATAGTCATTGGTGATTTAACTCAGCTTCCCCTATGTCTGGATCACCTGTTTATCATTTGTCTGAGTGGGAATTGTTTTATTCCTTATTTTTAAGATATTCACGAAAGTAGCAACATGACTTGCAATATTACAATATATTATAAGAAATTAGAATGGGATAAATCTTCCTGCAAATATAAAATACCTTATATTGAAAGGCTATAGATTATGAATATTACAGATCCCTTGACGCATTCTTCAGTCTCATAAATATTGTTGGTTACAAGCAAACTGCAGACTGTATTAACCATACTGTTTGTAACCTTCTCTCTATTAACAAGGACAAATTTTTTTTCAATACTGCAATTGACTATATAATTGGCAATGTTATTATCTAAGTGACTTACAGAAATTGGGTAACATAAGACAAACCTTCCTGCTCATTTGTGTCTTCAGCATATATTATGTATTTAAAGAATGATTTGATAGAAAAAAGTGTGCAATGGAACTATTGGAATTGTGATTAATTTTGACCTCTCCTTCTTGGAAGTGAGAGTGGCATTTAACGTAATTGGAGGCATCATTGATATTGTAATTAAGAGGGAATCTGACAAATTTATTGTTGATGGCAAACCATTTAGCAGGTGTCAGTTTTCCTTGCAGATCGCTTTTACGCTTACAGTGCACAAGACGTAAGGTTTAACCTTGCCAGAGATTTCAGCATCTTTGGATCAACAAATTTTTGCTATACATCACGCTAAGTCATTGTACAGATTGGTCAAAGGTGTACATTGCCTCTTTTCATCCTTCTGCATTTATTAATGACATGTCAATGGTTGAAGAATATAGACGTTTGGAAAAAAAGGCCTCTACTCCTTTACCACTCTGAAAAAAAAGATCCTTTAGAATTTAAATCAAATCTTCAAATCCTACAAAAAAATTTGTCATTAACATATTCATAATCTTATTTATCTATTATAAAAAAAAAACTAATTTTATTCGTAATCGATATTTCACATCTCTATTTATTTATTATTTTATTACACATTAAGTAAATTTCTTCTATCGTAATACCAAAAAAAAAAAGTGATTTCATAAATATACGTCAATCGGCCTATCGATATCTTAGTTTGATCTTTATTGGATGAATAAAGAAATAGCAATGATTTTCGAAGGGACGAAGTCCCTTGAATTACGCCTCACTAGTTTATAGTTCAAAATCAGTATTAAAATTTTTAATATAAAAAATAAATACATTCAACTCTCTCTATATAACGAACTCTAGATATAAAAAAACTCAAAAATTTTAAATTTTAAATAAATGGTTCGAAATAAAGGATTATTTCTTGATTTGGCACTTTTTAGATAAGATAAAGACTGTCGTTACCTTATTTATGAATTTTTTTAAAAAGGCAAAAAAGTACAACGCTTTTTTTAATGACCATAGACGTACGTTATAGAAATGTATAAATTTTATTTTTTTTTTTTAGCATGTCGTAAAATGCTGTTTCTTATTGTAATTTTTTTGCTTCGGTTAATGATTGCCTAGTTAAGTTTGATAATGCTTTGTCTTCGCGTTTCAAATTCCACAGTAAACGAAAAAAAAGTGCAAAAGTAAACCTTTTTGAGGTTTTAAAACTCTCACTTTATTTGCTAATACAAAGATTTTATTTTAAGCTACTAAATAGTGTAGATATAAAAGAAAAGGCATAGATAAAATAAAATAATAGAAATAATCAAAAATAAATAAAATTCATGTTTAAAAATCTTTAAAAAAAAACTCAGAAACGACCATTCGCTAATGATTAAAAAAAAAGGCATTTTAACTAGAAAGCAATTATTACTTGATGTCGTAACCAACTTTCAATTTTCCACCTTTTTCCTTCTTAAGTTTACGAATTGTAATTTCTCCAATTTCTAAAGTGTTAGCAACATGAGTTCCTCCACAAGGATAAGCTTTGAAACTACCAAATTGAATAGTTTTGGATTTAGATTCCCAAACAATTTTAACAGGAAGATTACTTTTTACCAACTCGTTAACTTTTTCACTTAATTTTTGCTTTAATTCTTGAAGTTCAGGTAGAGGACTTCCTTCGAAAATCACAAAAGATGTTTCAGGAAAATGATTTCCATTACAACCATCGATATTAGGGTACAAATTGTTGACTGCATTTGACAATAAATGTCCAGCAGAATGAATGTGAGCGTAAAATTTACGAAGTTTCATATCAATTTCTTGCAAGACCATTTGATTGACTTGTTCTTCCATATTAAAAGGTTCCTCCTTTTCATAATAATGCTTTACTAAAATATGGCACTTCATTAAAATTTCGTGGAGCCCACAATTTCTTAACAACAAATTGTTTGTTTTTTAACTTAAAATGTCCTTTGTCATCAGGCTGACCACCTCCTTGTGGGTGAAATATGGTTTTATCGAAAATAATAAAATCGCCGTTTTCGTCTCTTCCTACTTCAACAATTATTGCTTCTAATTTAAGTGTCACAGTAATAAATAAATTAACTGACGACATGTTAGCGAATTCTTCCTCAACACAAAAAAAAAAATTTGGCTTTACGTATTTACAAGAAATGAAAGTATTTATTTATTTATATTTGGAAAAGGTTATTATATCAAGTTCACTACATAAAGAAAATGAAATGAGTTAAAAGGCATAGTTTTTGAAGCATTTTTTTTTTTTCTTGTTAATCATATAGATTATCTCAACAAATCTGATTAAATGCTAAATTTAATACGGCCGATAATAACTTTGAAATTAACTCAAGACTTTAAAAATAGTTCAACAAAATCTTTGATAACAAATACTTTAAATATTTCTTAAATCATCTTTTCGCGCAATTTTCACGACATCCAATGCAATTTATAAAACCTTCCTTCCTAAAACAAAAGTGGTTAAGGCTATTGATAAATGCCCAACTTCTTTCTTTTTTTTTGAATGAAAATTTTATCTTACGCGTCCCAAGTTTTGCAATAGAGGTGCCATAGCGCAAGCTTTAGAAATGATGCAGACACAAATTATTAACACTGTAGGTGTTGAAAAATTAAAGATTGACATGGCGTATTATGAAGTATTAGAAAGGGATGATAGAGAAAGCATTTGCAAAAATTAATTATATAACTAAGCAGCCTTTAATTATTCCTGATATAGGAGGAGCGTTGCTATGGAATTTGAGCTCATCATTTTTAATTGTTTCAAAGAATCTTCTGAAAGATTTTGAAAATATTATTAACCTGCGGATCCTGTTTTAGTAACGATATTCATGCAGTGTAATACAATTTTGAGAATTGTGTAACTATTGTGTAACTCGTATCTCAAAAATTTAACGGTCGAGACATGGTTATATATGGTGATGTAGAATGCGACCAATGAAATAGCCTAGCGTGAGAAAATGCTTAATGAGAACAAATCCCGATGTTCAATCTTTTTTTTTGTTATTTTCACATCCGTTCGCTTCAATGGAATCGGTGTTTCCCAAAAAAATTTTGAAAACATTCGAATTCAATGGAAAATAAATTGCACGCTTCTATACCTGCGGATCCTTTTAGTAACGATATTCATACAATGTAACACAATGATGAGCATTGTGTAACTTCGTATCTCGAAAATTTAACGGTCGAGACATGGTTATATATGGTGATTTAGTATGCGACCAATGAAGTAGCCTAGCGTGAGAAAATGCTTAATGAGAACTAGTTCCGATGTACAACTGGTAAATGAGTTCATATATTTGGATAAATTCTTGTCATTTGAATTTAATGCTCAATGATGTATTTTATTGTGAAATTCTTTCTCAAATGGAAATCTATTATGGTATTTATGGAAATTTCTAACGTTAATAATCATTTTTATATTTTGATATCTTTTTTTTTTTTTGATTGGGGCTTCATCTTCACCGACACGAAATTTTGCAAATCTGCTCTGCTTTCTGCGGCTTATATAATCATTTCTGCGGATATTTATATTATGTACAAAAAAAAAAAATTAAATCGCCATTAAAATGCATCATTTTTAATTGTTTCAAAGAATCTTTTGAAAGATTTTGAAAATATTATTAACCTGCGGATCCTGTTTTAGTAACGATATTCATGCAGTGTAATACAATTATGAGAATTGTGTAACTATTGTGTAACTCGTATCTCAAAAATTTAACGGTCGAGACATGGTTATATATGGTGATGTAGTATGCGACCAATGAAATAGCCTAGCGTGAGAAAAATGTTTAATGAGAACAAGTTCCGATGTACAATCTTTTTTTGTTATTTCACATCCGTTCGCTTCAATTGAATCGGTGTTTTTCCCAAAAAAAAATTTGAATTCAATGGAAAGTAAATTGCAGCTTTTTTAAATTCACAAGCTTGCCTGCGGATCCTGTTTTAGTAAACGATATTCATGCAGTGTAATACAATTATGAGAATTGTGTAACTATTGTGTAACACATATATCAAAAATTTAACGGTCGAGACATGGTTATATATGGCGATGTAGATGTGACCAATGAAATAACCTAGCGTGAGAAAATGCTTAATGAGAACTAGTTTTAATATCAAATTATAAACGCATAATTTAGCATAAATTCCGAATGTACGTGACCTGTACGACGTTATTTATTAAATAAAATTCACGCGCACGCAACGAGTTCGTCTAGCCTACGTACTTTTGGTTACGTTGGTAAGTTCTATAACTTCAATCTTGCTTTAATAAAAATTATCCAGTTTCAAACCATTCTTCAACTTCCTAGCTCTCATCACGTATTTGAGATGTCAAAAAAGCAGAATTTTCGAGGCTTAACCGAAACGTTATAATTACTTCTTTGTCTTCAATTTTGAAATTTAGAAGCTATGACCTTGATAATGCCTGGGCTGGAAGTTTTATAAGGGAAGCAGAAAGATTAAAGCCGAATTAAAACACATTGACTTATTTGAAAAGGTGCGTCCTTTTTTATTTTGCAAAGTGGGTAACGCGCCTTGGCTCAGGAGAATTACTGTTTTTGATACTGGTACCGCTCCAGGTGTTCTTAACTCGGGCGCCCAAACTTTGTTGTTGGTAAAGGACTTTCTTTATCACTAAATAAAAAGTTGATAGGTAGAATTGGAAGTGGTTTGGGAGGACATTATTAGGGGATTTAAGCTAGTGAGTAAACTAATCTTGTATGATTTTAGAGTTAAATTGTAAATTAAATATAAGTATTAACTAATATCATTTGTAGAGACAGAATATTTCTAATTTCGAAGCTGAAAATTACATATTGCTCAAGCATTACATGAAATTGAAATGCAGATACAAGCAGAAAATACCGAACTTGTTGAGCTGGTCAACAAATGGTCTAAACATGATACGTTTTGGGTTACAACTTGAAGATTATAAATTCAGCATATTCTGGGTTTTCCTGAATTACAAATCATTTATAACCAATTTAAAAATCGAACCGGAACCGACTCCGGACCGGTTCCAAAAGTCGGCTCATAATCGGATTGTCATCAAATTAAGTTAGTAATAGGTCGAATTTGATTGATAACTAGTCAAAAATTTTTTAAATAAATCAACATCACATGCTCTATTAGGCTTAACACTCAAAGTTTTAATTTACTTAAGAAGAGCGAATTAGAACCGAAGAGGAACCGAAATGGAACCGATAGAACCGTCCCCATCTCTACGTACAAGAACTAAATCAAGGATCTAAAATCTTCAAGAGCTGATGGATCAATCGGGTCCCTCTAGTCCGAATTACGAATATAATGATAATGATAATGACGTTTATAATGACCATCATGGATCCAATAACCACAATTGTAGTAATAATTCGCCACCCATTAGTGATGTTTATGCTGGTACGGGTAAGAAATCTCGTCAAAGGTTACAAGAAAAAGGAAAAAAGAGGTACAACCATCCTTGATTAGAAAAATAGTCTTCGTAATCAAGAGCTTATATATTATAATTATGGATCTCAAGCAAGGAAACGACATAAAAATAAACCCGTAAGTATAAAATAAAATATTAGTAATAAATTACAATATTCAACTATTTATATATTATATTTATAGCCATCACAAACATCACCATCATTATCACCTCCACTACCTCCTCCACGATCATCGCTATTACTGTCACCATCATTATCTCCGTCACCTCCTTCAGGTCCATTCACTTTGGACTTTGAATACCAGTATGACCAAACTTCAGGTTCTGGCACAAAAGCTGATGATGGAGAGGTATATTAAACAAATTATATTTTAAAGATAAAATATTAACATTGCTTATTTACTCTATTAATTATATAGGAAAGACCACAAAAGAAAAATCAATGTTAAAATTGCCCCATACATTGTTCAGAAACGAAACCGCTTAATCCATTTTATATATACTTAATTTTTCAATATGTATTTCGCGTATAATATTCTCAAAACAAGAAACTGCTTAAATTCATTTATATACAGTCTACCCTTGATAGAGCGAATTTTTGATATAACGAACCACGTGATGCTTGACCAATTAAATATGTCAATTTTCCCTCTCTATAACGAATTTGCTATAACGGCTACTTCGCTATATTAAGGGTAGACTGTATTCTTAATTTTTAATATGTATTTTGTGTATATAATTCTCAATAAAAAAAAAATCTTAATCTCTTTTTCTGTAAATAAATGTATGATTTTTTTTAATACACACGAATTGCATTTTCTGATGCATATATACACTTTCCAAATACATCCCACACCTAGCATACATGTTAAAATGGTTAAAAATCACGAGACTGATATGGGCAATTTATCTGAAATTTAAACATAGAATTACATATATTATAAAGTTATTGATTACATAGGTGCGTGATGAACGAACTCCTTAATTTTTTAATTCTTTCTGGCATAAAAATTTCGGTTTTTCATCGTATCATACTTCAAAAAGGGCAATTCCATTATCTTGAAATATGCATCGTTTTTACCGATCACGATTAACAATGTCTTTGAGTTTTTTTACATCTTTATACCATCTGGTGCTATGAAACCGAGGCTGAGCTCCAATGCGATTTGATATTTTGGAAGAAGGCATCAAGCTCTAATCCATTCAAGAAACTCAATTATCGGCTCCTCTTTAAGAATTTCCTTAGCTATCTGGATGCATCCAGTCTGAAATTTGCGATTTTTCTTAGATTCTTTTTCTGCCCAAGCCTGTTCTAGTTTTATAATTCTTTTTAAGGGTTCAGCATGTTCCTGACTCACCTGGCTACACAACATTGAATAATTCACATCTTGTATAAAATTATTATTCATGTCATCCGAGCTTGAATTATTGGAACAATGTATTTGCCAAGCTTCGCTCAGGATTTTACCCGTAGTACATGACGTTTCTATGCAAAATCCGCAAATATAATTACGGCATTTTATTTTTGCAATTTTTTAGGATCTAAATTTTTAAAAAATTTATTATTATTCCAAATACATACATTGTATTATTATTTAATTCTTGTCATGTTTTTGGCATTGTTCTTCGATTTTATCATGCCCAATCATTTTCCAATGATTTGAAATTTGGGCGAATATTTTTTAATCATAAATGTCTTTTAAGTTTGTTAAGTGATTCTACTAAACAACTCCTTAATCTTTAAGTGTAATTTGAAATTAAAAAAGATTAAAATGTAATCGGCAAAAATACAATTAGCAAAATCCATGTTGTTTAATAAATCTCTCTCTCTTCATCAATACTTTTCAATAATATAATCATTTTCTTGTTCAACAATCGAATCTTGAGTTAATGGAAAGCTTAAAGTTTTATGATTTTAAGAATTTTTCAAACTAAATTTGCCTTCATAAGAATGAAATCAATGATTTCGTTGCATATAAAATAATCATCAACAGAACCAACTATTTTCTTTTCACCATATCGGCCTTGTTGAAATATGAAGTCGATAAAATTTTCGAGAAAGAACTTTTTAACAAGAAAGTAGCATAAAATGAACTTGAAATTCAATTTGCAATCTTACTAATTCCGTCCAAATTTTATTTTAATAACATATGACGACTTGAATGACTATTTTTTCGTGAAATATTTTTTAATTGAATTAAAGAAATTCCAATCGACTTTGTTTAAATAACATACCAAAAAACAAACGGATACTTATTGCTTAACGTAATTAAAGACGAAGAAATAAAGAAAAAAGGTTCGATGTCTTCACTCCCTTCACAACCTTCCACACCAACAATGTCAGAAGCAGTCAAAGACCGAAATGTAGAGGAACTTATTAAATATTTGAAGGAGCGAGATTTATATCTTGAAGGTAAAGAAAAATTACTGACTCCATCTTCCTCAATTCAACAAAGCTGATTTTCGAAGTATTGGTCTTCTATTTTGAGTTGCAACGACTCTCACAAACTTTGCCGAGTCTTAAAACGTGAACATTAAGATCATTGTCCTCATATAATACTTTCAAAGATTTCAAGGATATTTTAAATCAATTTAACATTGATGGCAGTAGTATCAACAATTCACACCAGGTAAGGTTTTTTTTACCTCAGGATTAATAACAGGCAATGCTTGCTGGAAGAAATCCTTTCCAAAAACTATAAATGTTTGTTATGGCCATAGTATATAATTAGAAAAATCATCGCTGGTTTAATATTCGTACATTAGGAATTCTTCCAGGTTTATTGAAAAATTAAAATCTTTATTAGATTTGCCAAATATCGAAGTTATTATGAAAAAAGTTTTATGTTTATTATTGTGAAAAATAATCATTTTATTGCATTATATGGTGTTTGTGAGAATGGTATTGTACTAATATTCAGCGAACCTTGCATAATAATATGTTTTATCGGTCATTTACTATTTGATGATTTTTGCTAGTATTATTAGTTACTAATCATTTATTTTGTTATTATGTCAAATTGTAAATTACTATTAGATAAATTATTTAAAATAGTTTACTAACTAATTATTAATTTATTTATTGAAAGTGCAATTTTTATAATATTTCTTAAACTATCGTTATTTGTGATCTTTTCTTTTTTTCATAATAGTATGTATGATCTTCATCAGGTACATGTGACGCAGACAATGGAGTTTAGAGGAATTCTACCTTTCGCAAGTGCTAATAGAGGGTAATTGATTACCTTTGGATGAAATATTTTGTGTCATTTATATTATCAAAAGAAATAAAAACTTTTATGGGAAAAACAAGATGCGTAAAAGAAAAAAAGAAATATCATTTGTTCTTATGAAAAAATGGTTTAATAAGAATATGATCAAGTGGAATTTGCTGAGCGGAGCTCAGCAAATTCCAACCAATCATATTGCTTATTGCAAATACAACAGTTACTCGGCACGAAGTGCCGAGTAACTATTACTTATTGACTGTTACGTATGCTATCATAAAGTCTAGAATTGTATTGGTTAAAAGAGCGTGATAAATTTCAAAGATCTGATCAGTATTATAATGTTTTTTTTCACTAGCTTCGAGGAAAAGCATTACGGTCATAGTATTTTTTTTATCTCAATCTTTTTCAGCATATGGTAGTACTGTGGGTTTTGTTGTGATAACTCCCGCCTCCGATGATCGAATTTGTCCTTCAGGGGTGATGTTAATTATTATTAAATTTCGGGCAATATATGGAATATATAAATTGACCGGATTTCCATACGTAAGTGATTCCGTCTGCTTAATTTCATACATAAATGCTAATCAAACTTCCCTTTTTTGAAAAATTCCACTTCGATCATCACGGGATTTGTTGAAACGGGAAAATACTTTTCCGGGTTAATTCACTGCATGAGCTGGTACATTTGCCAAATATCGAAATCACGGCCGTGGCATATATAATATTCTGAAACGGTTCTTAGAAGGTAATTAAGATAGGGCGGAGGTTTCATTGCTAATTACAAGGAACATTTATTAAACGTTCCTGTTTTTATGGTTGAACCTCCGGAACGGCCTTGAAAAGTAATTAAGGTGAGTGGTGGTTTCTTTGCTGCTTTTATTTCTCGAACTTACTGGTTCATATATGAAGGGCCATTGATCAAGATTTTCGTGATTTACCGATGTCAAGATCACGCGGGTGTATATCGTAACAAAACATACAAGATCATACCAATATATTCATAACCTGATCCAAGTCGATTGTATCGCTATAACATATTATGTTATATCGGTACAATCGACTAAAAAAAAAATTTTTAAATTCTAATAAAATCATTTATTAAAATAATAGTTATTTATTATTATATATTATATCTTAGTAAATTCATATAATCTTAAAATACCTTTCTAATATTAAAAGTATTATTTTAATTAATATTTATGATTCAATTAAATGATTATTAAAATAATTTTAAATTTTGTAATATTTATTAAAATAATATTAATTTGATATTAATATAAAAAAATTCATTTATACTATATTATATTTTCAAATGAAATTTAATTAAAATTTTATATAATAAAACACTTATAAAAAATAACATGATATTATTTTAATTCATAAATATAAATAAATATTAACAAAAAATTTCATTAGAAACCTTTTTATTTAATAAAGCTAAAGAAATTATTTGAAGCAATACATTAGTTTAAACTAATTGAATAAATAAATTATCATAAAAAAAATGATATTAAATGCCTTATTCTATAGATATTTATAAATAATTCTTAATCTTTAATAAAAAAAAAAAAAAAAAATAAGAGTTGAAAATAAGAATAATATACGTATAAACCAAAAAGGAGTGATTGACAAATTTCATTTTAAGTTGGAAAAACATAAATTTCTTAAGTCACGTGACTGTATGTTGCAATATCTGTCCCACCCAAAAAAACAACTTTGGCATGTTTTTGAAAGATTAAAATTGCGGTTTTTGGCACATAACAGTTAGTTTGAAGTTTTCCGGATGCAAAAGATTGGAAATTACCCCTTATGTTTCTAATCAAACATTTCTTGTTGGTTTAACATTGAACAAATTATGCTTTATAATGTAAATGTCATGCACAGAAAATAATGCAAATAATCCTGCGTCATACCAGTTGACAAATAAAGAATTGTATAGTATGGTAATTGGATAATATTACATCAGGCAAAAAAGAGGTCATTAACCTTTCATCAAAGAGTGCCTTTGTAGGCGCAAATGGTTATTCGGTCTTTAATAAAAACGAAAGTTCCTATGGATGATTAATTATCATCAAAAGGCTCTTATCGAAATTTGCCCAGAGAATTTCAAAAGTCATATACTTTTTATCAAACTTTTTTTCTTTTTTTAGTTGTCCATCTCTTGAATATATTTTTTAAATCTCTTTCAAATTTCATTAGTATGACTGACTTTATTTATTTATTTACCCTTAAAATTCACGATTTTGACAAGCGCCAATTTATATCGTGCTATAATTTAAGGTGAAACAAAAAATTCTTAAAAACACGTGTAACCTTAAAAGTAATTTAACTCGTTACGGAATAATAAATTAAAGAATTTTCGTACGCCAATGATTTCACTTTTGAAAAATTGATTCCCTACGAAAATTTACCGCGAAATTTCCAGTCTCTATAAAGTATATACTGTACATACATGATTACATTATTCTAATATTCTGTTTAAACATTTTTAATATTTTCTTTAATGACCACTTACACATTCCTGTCAAAGAATGAGTATATATAAGGTTGACAAGACTGCGGCATAATCTAACGATGTTCTCGCAACATGTGACTTTATTTCCGTTACTCGTCTTTCCAGTTTCTACACAATAAATTTTTCAGGAAGTACAAAATGTATTACTATGCATTAGATAACAAATGATTTTTGACCCTTTCTTTTTAGAAAAACAAACAAAAATAAAGTCTTCAGTTTTATATATCTTGATATAAATCAATTTCTATTTAGAAAGAACCAAAAATCTAAACTCTGTCTCACACATTCCTACAGAAAAGTGTAACATAAATGTTTGACCTTAATAAATTATTTCTTGATGAAAAAAAAAATTGTTTCTTTATTAGACTCTTTTTTTTTTGAATAAAAAAAATATATATATTTTTTTTTGTCGTTTAATGAAAGGTTATCCTTTATTCCCTTTTCAAAACCGATATTTATCTCACCTTACATTCACTTACTAAACCCAGTTTCCTTTTTTGTTAATAAATAAAACTCACGATATTCTTATAATTTTTATCCGTATTTTACTCAAAAATTCTTATTTTTTATTTTTTATTTTCAATTAAATTCTTTCCTTTTTCTGTGATATACCTTATTTATTCCCGAATTCTCAAAATAAAATCTTCTCTATGTATCATTCATTTATAAACAAATAGTCTTATAAATATTTACCCCCCCTCAAATATAAAATGTTTCATTTGTCATCAAATTAATCAAAAAAAGGCTTAACTCTTTTTCTCGCTCCATTAATTATAATTCCATTTAAAAATCTGAAATTTTTTTTTATTTTTTTTTTTTTTTTTATGATAATTTCATTTTCAACCAATCAAAAAAGTATTATTATTTTGTTTTTGTTTTTTCTTACTCTGCGAATAAATTTAATATATATATATATATCAGAGAATATTTTGTAATCATATTCCTTTAAAATCTTGTTGAATCGAACAAAGCGATTTTTGGTTATATAAAAAAAAAAAATTAAAAAAAAAGGAATTAACGATAAATGAAGGATCAACCAAATTCTGTAAATTTTCCTGAAACCGATGATGGAAGAACGTATCATTTTGGAGTTAAACGCGGTGAAGGTCACTAACTTTTTTCTTTTCTTTTTTTTTTTTTAAAAAAAAAAAAATTTCCTTTTTTTTTTATTTGTTTTTTTTTTAATTCTGCGCCTCAATTCAACCCTTGTTTTTTTAAAAAAATTTAGTCGCGAATCGAATCATAACGGTTGAAGATCCTTCAAAAGCATTGACGATAGAAAAATTATTAGATCGAAATCCGAAACCGTATATATTTAATTCAAAGAGAGGTTTCTTAACAATAACAGGACGTTATAGGAGTATCCCTATTAGCATAATCTCTATATATCATGTAAGTTCCAAAAATCAAAGAATGAATGAATGAATGAATAAATAAATAATTTATTTGTCTTTGCAACTTTAGTAACTAACTGTCTTTATAGGGATTTGCTATGATGGACCTTTTCATAAGAGAAGCCCGACATGTTGTTGACGGACCTTTGGTTATTATTCGATTAGGAACTTGTGGTTCAATAGGAAGTCCAAGTATAGGAGATATCATGATACCGACCGGATCATTCGCCGTAACAAAGAACTACGATTATTTCATTCATGGAATTGATACAAAAGATGCCTTCCCTATCGTAGATAATCCTTATAATATATCAAAAATCACTTATTGTGATCGGGAAATGTGTGAAATGGTAATTCATGCGTTTTTTGATTTGATTTGGATTTTTTTTAATTTTTTTTTTTTTTTTATAAATAAAGCGCATATATGTATTTCTAATTGATTCCCTTCCATTATATGTATGTAGTTACAAAAAGAGCTAGGAAAATTCATGACGAAGATGCCAATATTTACCGGAATAAATGCTTGTACAGATAGTTTTTATTCATCGCAAGGACGACTCGATGATAATTTTCTTGATGAAAATCATGAAGTACTCTCATCAATATTTCAAAAATATCCAAATGCTCAGACAATGGATATGGAGACATTTACGTTGTATCATTTATCAAATGTCAGTTTATCGTCATCAATACCTCCTCAACCGCAACAAGTGCATTTACCACAATCAAAGCAACTCAATTCACCTTTCTTACAGGCGAATAATTCTTCGCAAATATCCCTTGGAAGAAAGTCCCTTTGTAATACCCCACAAAGGATGTCTTTTGATCTTTCAACCAAGCAAAGGCATTCAATGGATGTATCAAGAAGAATGAATAATACCTTTTCCGTATCAAAAAATAATAATTTAAATGTTCATCAACCTCATAGACATCATTTAAATAATAGTTCAACCAATTTAAACTCTTATAATCAGATAGATCAATATACTGTGACCAATAGTATAAGGTCAACTGCCGTTCTAATTGTGTTTAATGATAGGAAAACCAATGAATCGATTTCTGAAGATACGGTAAATTTATTGGAACCTTGGTGTAGCGAAGCCTGTTTAAATACCTTAATGAGGATTGAGGTTATAGGATCTCATGAAGAAGAAGGAAGTGTTTGGAGTTATAAATTGACTGAAAAAAAAAGTCAAAAAAAGGGAAGTAAAATTGTTAGGATGATCAAAAGGAAATTGTCTGCGTAGTGATATCCAAAAAAAAAAAAAATAGGGGTGAACGTAAAAAATGATGTTTATGGTGATGTAATTGAAATTTTTAATAAAATCGTTATTCTTCACTAACTTATTAAAGTTTTATATTTTCATTTGAGATATTTTTTTATATTTATGGGAAACGTATGATTGAGGAACTATATTTTTTTGTTCGTATAATGCCATGCCGCTCGTGCTAAATCTAATTTATGTTCCTTAACCATACATTTGCCGAATGCGTGATATCAATTAAGTGAAGCAAGGCTGTGGACAATTGTTCCTTATGACCAACTCAAAAAGAAAGCATTGTGATGTTATTAATTTAAAAATTGTATAACTCAAATAAGAAAATCTCTATCGACTGTGTTTCCCATAAGAAGTTGATTATTGTCTATGATAACAATTGGAATACTTTGTGTAATAAGTAGAAATACTTTTTTATTACTGCAGGCGCCCCTATGCATCTATCTATGCATCATCTGATAGTGAAAAGAATGAAAACAGGAGCTCGTAGTCAAAATAAATAAGTGTTTAAAATGGATATTGCATATGATTAAATTCCTTGAGATCATAATGATAGAAGTTTCCGAAATGAAGAACGTTCTACAAAAACACTTAAAAGTTTGAGTAAAGGTGAAAAAACCCGACAAAAGAATATCAATTCTAGTAAGATTTTTCTGCCAACGTTTTCTAAAGAATTTTTTTTTTTTTTTTTTTTACACCTTTATCTGATAGAGTATTATTACTATTTCTCTTAAGAACAAATTCAACTTGCTATACAATCCCTTTTTTTTTTTTAAATGAAAAACTTTTGCATTTCACGTTTCACGATTATGACTATGAAACGAATAATTAGAATATAACTCAGTTTCGTAATTAACTTTAAAATTGCAATTGTAATTTATAAACACGTGTTTCTCATCTAAAATAGATTTTTCTATCGGCAATTTTTTTTTTTACTATACATCTTTTTAATATATCTATGTCTTCAGTTAATTCAAATAAATAAATATACAGGATTTCTGAATGTTAATTATGCATTAATTAATATACCGTTTGACTCTTATCAACAGCGATGCGCATTGGAGGTTGGAAGTTTTTGGACTTCCAGATCTTCCATTTCCAGTAATACTAATAATGCACAGAGAAAAACATATATATAAAAAGAAATATGTGTTAAAAATGTTAAAATTATTGAAAGGTTGGGAAGTTTCCAGAACGACATTGGAAGCTTCTATGCAACATCACTGCTTGTCAATTTTTATACACAACATATTCCGTTTTGAAATGAAAATTGCTGAGGCTAATTTTTTACCAAATTTGGGGCTTAAACGCGGCGGCCGATTTCATTATAACGAAAGGGATTGTGTAAAATAAAAAGATTACACAAATTTCGCCACTCGCATAAAATATGGCTAATCTAAAAATTAAAGTTTATTAATTAAAAAAATTATAAAAGGTGATTTGTTTCTTCTTGACCTTTTTTTTTTTTTTTTAAGGCATAAAATCATAATACCTTTTAGTAAAGACTAATCAAGTGAAATCTATAAATTAAAAAAGCCCTTTTTCCCCCGCCAATAAAAAAAAAAATTAAATTCTAATAATCATAATGTCACCATTAATTCCGGTAGAATCCATGGAACATAATGAAATTGCAAGAGTGGATGATAACGGACATGTAATGAACTGGGATGAAGTTAAAGAAATAGTCGGTTGGTAAAAACTTGATAACTTCTCGAATAAATTTTGATTTTTTTTTATGTTCATTTTATTTACTCGGTAATTTGATTCTTTTTATTCCCATCGATCATAAAAGAAACTGGGTTCGTATATATCTCTCTTTTTTTATAATCCAACCTTTAATTTTTTTTTTAATAAATCAGGAATTTAAATTCGATGATCTTTTCTTTTTGTTTTTTAAAGTCGTCTAGAATTATTGCGTCGTGAAAAGTCATTGCAATTAAAATATGCAGCACATAAAGTGAAAATAGCGCAAGAATATAGTTCATTGGATCATTACGTTTGCAAAGTTGTTTTAAACTGGTCCAAAGAAATTCTTCAAAAATCATCCACATCACCACAGGAATATTTTTCGTCGAAAACCCCTTCAACTCATTATAATCTTCGATTAAATGATTTTCCCTATATCGTGGACTCTTCCATTTCTCATTATATCCTATGGTCCAAATTACCTTTCGAAAATCAAAATGAACCTGATGTGAAGAAAGAGATTGATTCATTTTTAAAAGAAAAGTTTCCTGGAGAAAAAGAATGGGTATTCTTTATTAATCCACCTCGATTACAAAGTGTTAAAAGTATTTGGCACGGTCATATTTTTGTAAGGGATATTCCAAATCAAAATTAGCGAATAGAAATCTCTTTTTTTTTTTTTTTTTATTTATTTATATCATTATTTTGTTATCAAAATGTTAAATGTCGCACATATCACTTATTAAAGCTGTTTCTTCAAAACAAAGTGATGTTAACCATGTCAAACACCACAGACATGTCACACTAACATAGGATGTGGTTCATTTGGAAGCTTCTATTGTGTCTTACTTGATCATTTGCTTTAAATCAACCCTTAAAAAGAAAATTGTCCGAGATAATTTGAATTGATTAAAATCTCTTTTTTCAAATACATTTGTCATTTCACAGATAAAATTGCATAGAAATGTTACTTTTAACTTTATAATATATTGAAGACGTTAATGCGGAAACCACGTCTTCATTTCTTCACTAAAAAAAAGTTTCATCACTATGGGAAATACTTTTCAAGATTCTTTACATCATTTTCGTAATTAATTTCTGTCAACTCCTTCAAAACAATTTGATATATATCATGCTCATCTGATGAAAGTCAGCTTCCAACAAACAAGGGTATAAATTTTATCGGCAATCAGGACATTTTTTTTTTTTGTTTTGATTTCTCAAACTTATTAAATGATAATTTGTGTTGACAATTTAAAATACATAAAAGCCATAAAGTATTTATAATATAATTGGGTATTTTTAATTAAAAAAAGTAAAAAAAAAATTTATTATACATAAGAAATATATCTGACCTATAAAAATTATATCCTAATGATAAATTAGTAAAGGTGTAATTGTATTATTTAGAATATTTATTGTAATTGAACAAGAATATTTCAAAAGATTAAACCATGATATTAATATCTTAAAAGTAAATCGTGCTCGTAAGTTAATAATATAAGTAGCATTGATAGATTAAATAAATTATTTCTAATTCTATTATAAAGAAATTTCATTTCTTTTATTTTGGTAATATTCAATGAAATATGAAATATATTAAAGTAAAATAAATTTATTGAATAAATCCATCTAATTAATTAATTATTAGCAAAAAATTTAAAGATCTTTATCATAGAACTTGCACTCACAATACTTTAAAAAACGAGATACGAGCCAAGGGTTAATCCTAACTGTACTATAATACATTTGTAGTATTCCCTAAAACCTTTTCAATATATGTATATATAACTATTTATAATTCTTTGTCCATATTATTTTTTTCCCTTTTGGTATGCGACGTTTTGCTAGTAGGAACCATAAATTCAACTTGATAGATGCAAAAATACATATTAATTGTGGAGCATAAACAGATGCAAATTTGTTTTAATATTGTGCTCATGAAATGATTTTTTTTTTTTACTTAAATTAAAATTAAAAGAACCTTATCGTTCTCTTTTTTTAAGCAGTTTTTTGATTTTCGTTAGATTAATGCATAGAAAGTAATAAACAATCAATAAAAAAATGTTAAGGAGTCGGCTATTACGAAATTTGTTTTAATATTTTGCAATGCAATACAACACACAAACCTTAACTCAAAAAAAAACACAGCTTTTTATTCCTTTTCATTCAAACCCGTGTTGTGGAACGTTTCAACATCTTTTCTTTTGATTATATCATAGTCTTTAAAAGATGTCTAAATGAAAATTAAGACGAGACACGTATTGAGCCGAATCTTAAAGTTCGGAATTTCATTTTTATTGTTTATTAGATAACGATTCAAAAAATAATAAACTTTACAATATCAAGGAAAAGTTAATACCACCTTAAAAATTTAAAATGAGCTCATACTTTCAAATCTGCGCCATTGTCGCACCTTTGTCAAAACACAAGCAAAAACAAAAAATCCGTATGCTATCCATAAAAGGAAAAATAATGAAAAAATTATGTGAACTAATGTTACGCGGAATAAATGTTTTGTAAACATAGTAAGGAGATATGTATATATATACACATAGTAGAAATTTGGAGATGGCAGTAGACTTTTCAAAGACAAATTCCCTTTCATCTTTTTTACTTTTTCTGCGGAAATAAATTACGATGGAAAAAGGTTCGACTAAAGACCAGTCAGATGCTCAGAAAGAATCTTACCAAAATCAAATACCAGATCCATCGTACCAACAACAACAAAATTTTAACGAACAACCAAATATAATTTTGGTTGAAACTGAACCACAACACACCGTTATCATTTCAGAGAAATTCATTCCGGGTCAAGTGAATCATTCAATTCCCCCAGTTGACAGATCTCTAGTAGAACTCACTAGTCTAGAACAAATTTGGGGAATGCCTTTATTGCATAATGGAAAACCTACCTGGAAGTTTTGGATTGCTTTAGCATTGATATTGTACTTTGCATTCTACGTCTTATCGTTTCTTTCAACTACTTACATGTACTCACATAACAGCAGTTATTCTTATAATTATAATTATAATGAAAAAACTGAGAAGCACGGAGGAAATAATGATAATGGTAACGGCAATTGTCATATACCAAATTGTCCTGAAGGAACGGTAATATTTTTTAATTTATTTGTTTTCTTTAACTTAATTTATAACTCATGTATTTCTTTATAATAGAAATTATGTCCGATTGGAAATTGCTTTTGGATATGTGAAAAGAAGGTATTTATAATTTATATATTAACTTATATACGAAATGTTAGAAATATTAATCCCCCTTTTTTTTAAAAAAATAATATCATAGTGTATTTCGGAAGTTGTTACTTTTAAATCATAATCATTTACAATTTCAGCATTTTTATATTAGATAATTAATTTATATGTCTTTTAAAATGATCAAATCCTCTAAACACAGAATATGAACTTTTTTTTTTGTCATTTATGAAATTGGAAGGTAACATTCCATCAGATAGATTCATTCTCATAAATTTTTTTATTTGCATATAATAAAGTTCAATATTTTGTTGTACATTTAACATTGAATTTATAAATAAATTAATTGTTTTTTTTTGTGTTAAAAATTTACATTCTACTTCCCAAAATAGAACATATGGGAGGTTTGCTATTAAAATCGAGTTACAAACATAATAAATCATATGATCCGTAACGCGATTTTAATAGCTTACCTCACAAGATGTGCGTACATAATTTATATATTAATGCGCATGTGCATTTCCCAATAAATACAATTTAAATTCAGCTTTTGTATATTTTGTGAAAGATTTTTTTTTTTTTTACACGAATTCTCATAAAATGTGATTTAAGTTTGTATTTTTATTATTTTTAATATAAATAAATATTTGACAAAACTATTTTTTACAAGTAATTTAAAATATTCTTAATGATATAAATAATAATTCCAAAATACTAGTGATTTTAAAAGTATAACAATTTAATTATTTAGAATTTTCTTATATATAAAATTAATAGATTATTTTATTTCTTGTAAAATTAAATCAATTATAATAATTAAGCAGATAAATTTATTTTTAAATCTTTACATTTTAAAATTAATATTTAAACTTTTCTTTTATATATGGGAGTGTTTCTAGGAAAATCAGGTTCCGAGAAATTTTTGACTTAAATTAAGAGCTTAATACATTTTAATCTAATAACATCAAAAACTAAAATGCAATAAAAATCTCAATTTTGCTAAAAAATTCCCGGAACCTGATTTTCCTAGCAATCAACCCATATAGCAGAGACCCGGAAAATTCCATTTTTATGATTTTGCCGCATAATGAATAAAAATGTAATTTTTGAATTTTGATGGATTTTTTATGATACGTGACAATTAACCAATAATAATCACAGATCAGCGGAAAGAAGTTCAAAAGAAATTAAAATCTTTTGAGTGAAAAAGGACAATTTAAGTTTTGATTACTACATTCAACAATTTAATTACAAAGACAATCTATGGCATTAAAGAAGAAGGCTGATACTCTCATTTCTTTTGCAGCAAGCTTTTATGATTTTTTAATAATAAAATTTCATTTTTACCCTTTAAAATTTTTAATCAAAATGCTACCTTCTATTACAGTACTGTTTCATCACATGCATGAGAATTTTCTGAAGATTTTCTCACAGATAATGAAAACTTATGTGTCATTTTTATGATCATAGTATTAATTTTCAAACAAAAACTACAATTACTACTCATATAGGTTCTAAAATGCATATTTCGTAATAAAAAGAAAAAAAGAATAACAAATAAAAAAAAGATAACCAACTATTCAAACTATTATTAATGCATTTGAATATTATAAAATCTATTGTATAATTTAGTAGATTCATTGTAATAGCTAATATACCATTAGAAAATGTAGATAAACTTCATAGTTAACTGTATAAAAATTGTAATAAAGAAAAATTTATTTCAAAATCAAATATCTTGCATCATGGATATTTACCAAAAAAAAATCATGTTAATTAACTTAAAGAATATTTCAAAGTAAACAAATTTCAATTATTATAGATAAAATTATAGATAATAAAGTACAAAGTATAGTTAATATTTTTTTAAATTTATATTAATTATTTAGAAAATATTAATAATTGAATAACTTATAATTTAAATTAGAATTCAATAAGAAATTTCTTTTGATATATCATAATTAATTGCATCAAATTCAGCATCTTATATGAAAAAATATTATTATGATATATTAAAACTATTAAATACCTTAATTAATTTATTTGCTATATTTAATATATATATTAAATCTTATTATATTAGTATATTTTATTTTTATATTTATTTAATATATATTATTAAGTAGTTTTAAAATACTTTATAATTTATATATTTTAAGAAAACATAGATATCAATTAATTATTTTCAAGATATACATCAATTACTTGCAAATATTAAACAAATTTTTATTTATAGTAAAAGTAAAAAATATATTATATATTATATTTTTAATATCAATACCTGATTTTATATAACATTTTATATATATTAAAATTTAGATTATATTTATAGATTTATAAATTTGTAGCTGATCTTGATTTTTTTCATAAGTGAATAAACTAATATTTTTTTTTATTAAACAAAGATTATAACAATTTGAAATAAAAATAACTATGAAAAATTATAAATAATTTTAGACTAACTATAGATACTAAAGATGATCTTCATAATTATTTTTAAATTTTAATTAATTAATGAAAAATACTACCTTTGATTATTAATTTTCCTAATGCTGATCTTTCATCTATAAATATTAAAATAGCATATATAACCTAATTAGTTATATTAGATACTAAAAATAATAAATTTAATAATGGGATAATGTAACTTTAAACAAATATATTATTAAATTAAAATAAAGATTTAAAATAATACATTACTTATTAAGCAAGTTTTAAATTTAGAAATATAGAAATTCGTTAAAAATTTAAAAGGATTTTTTTATAAAAAAAATGATAATTTTCAAATGAAAGTTTAATAGATAAAAAAATAGAGATACAGTAGGATCCTAAATTATATAAGTAGAGGTCAGGTAGAGTTAAAAGGATTTTACTATTAGTTATATGCAAATTTCAGGGTTAAAATTATAATAATATTAGTTAGTTGCTAAAATAAATAATAAATTTCTAACTGGTATTATCAAAAATTGTCTATAAAAAAAAAGATTTATATAATTTTTTTGACTAATTCTATATAAACTCAAATTTAACTCTTTTCAATATATTTTGAAATCTTGATATAGTTATAAATATAAATGAAAAAAAATACTAATTAGAAGATAAATAATATAATTAAATTTGATAAAGAATAAATTTAATTCAATTTTAATATGTAAATTTTTAAATTTTTTTTCTTATCTTTTATAAATATATAATATTTTAAAATAAAATTAAAGAATGATTTTGCTATAAATGAATTTCTCAATTCATAAAAACAAAATAAATTTTTAAAATTAAGAATTTATATTTTAATATCAATAAGTTTTTATTATTTATTGAAACTTTTATTCTCATTGAAATTTTTGCAAACTATCAAAGCTTTTTGCAATTTGTCTTTAATAAAAAAATTTAGCAAATATTTTAATAGGTTTCAATTTTGATATTTGTCAAAACTTATAGATTTTGTCTAATAACCTTAAAAATACTAAATCATAATAGATTTTAAAGATCTTATAATATTAGCTTAAAACTTACTATGCAATTTTAAAAAATTTATAAATTTAAATTAATAAAATTAAAAAAAATTTTCTTCTTTTTCTACTTTTTATTTTTTCTTAAAAAAACAAATATTAGAACTAAGCCATTAAAATTCTTTACAAGACCTACCAACTAAAATTAAGATTTTTGATTCATATTATTATATGATATATGAACTTTATTTGATTAAATTTTTATAGTCAATTATCTTATTAATAAAACAAGCAATTATATTATCAAAATTTCTCATTTATTTGTATAATATTAGTCAAAAAATCTAAATTTAGGATTTAGAAATAATTGACATTATTTAAAAAAGTTAAAAAAGTTTCAGACTAAAGATGGTTCCTATAATTATTTTCAAATTTCAATTAAGTTGCAACTTAATTGCGCCATAAGAAAATTTAATTGCGCCATAAGTTGCAACTCAATTGTACTATTTTTTTCAATTGCGATGACCATCTTTATTTCAGACCCTTATAAAATTCAAAATTTTTAACTTTAACAATTATTTAAATATGTGATTAAATAAGAGGTATTTAATATTTTTTTTTTAAAAAAAAAAATAAATATTAAAAATAATTTTTTTAATAAATTAGTATAATAATATCCTATAGGATGATTTTAATAGCAAAATCTTAAGTTATATTCAAGTATTACAAAAATTAATTCTGTAAAAATAAGCAAAAATTATAAAATAAAAATGATAATTTAATAGTAAAATTTTAAATAATAAATTTTAATATTGTTTTATTAATTAATTTGACCCAATATTTAAAAATAAAATAATTTATTATTAATTAAAAATGTTTACTATAATATCCCTTAAAGCATAGGTATAAATTAACTATAAAATATTATAGAAAAATTATAATATTTTAATATCTAATGGTTATAAAAAAATGAAATAAAGTTTTTTAGATTTATCATATTAAGATCTATTTAATAATAGTATTTTTAAATTTTTAAAATTAATAATTATTAATATAAATTAATTTTTCAATTTTTCAATTTTTTAAA